CACACACAAACACACACGCACAAACACACACACACACACCCACACATACACATACACACACACACACACACACACACACCCACACCCACACACACACACACACTAGGAGCGGGTTCTTTTAATAATATATTCATGAAAACAGAAAAATCCATCTTTTTTTTTTCCAGTTTAAATTTTCTGATGTACAAAAATGTTTCGACACTTTCGTCAACTTACTCCTCAGCTAGTGGGTGGTTGGCGGGTACTCTGGTGTGGTTTGCTTCTTCTTTCCTATCAAACATCTATTGTCCTTATCTCCTCTCCTTCTTTTTTGTATTTGTTACTCTCTTGTAACACCTCTAATCTTCTGGGGCTCTCATATGACCTTATGCAGTTGCGAGCGCCGTAAAAACCTCTACTAAAACTAAACTAAACTCCTCAGTTTTATTTTCCCATTCACCTCAGTTAATCAGAAGGTTGGAATTCGCAATAAAATTTGAAGAGCCGGGAGATATAATAAATATATATACCCCTCCCCTCCCCCCTCCTTCCTTTCTCCACACATTCTTATCTCCTATCCCAAACTTTCCCACTCCTTCACCAAGAGAGTTTTTGAGCAGGTGTTTTTCTTTTTTTCTTCTTTTTTTTTTGTAAGTGTTTTACGGCGCTCGCAACTGCATAAGGTCATATGAGCGCGCGGGACACATTAAACTTTTTCAGTTGGTAGGAAATTTTGAATTTTGCCCTGGTGGTCGCCGAAGCCTATTCTTATCGATTTTAGACCACCAAGAGATCTTTAACGTGCGCAACTTGCACACGGGCCCTCCGAGATTTTTCGCCCTTGTTCGAGAAGACAAGAAGTAGATCTTTCTTACCAGATGATCAGGGATGTTGCTGAAAGACAGCAGTAAGAAGGAGCCAAGGAGTAGCAATAGCAAGGTTGCAGAAAGAATCAGGAGCCCAGAGGAGTGGGCAAAGGAGGTGAAGGGGTGGGGGCAGAAAGAGGAGACGAAAGCAGACAACAGAACATTGCTAGAGAGCAGGAAAGGAGCTGAAAGGAGCTGAAAGGAGCTGAAAGGAGCTGAAACATTTTAGAGAAGAAAATTGTCGGTCGCTACCTGGATTCCAACCCGGGACCTTTGAATGAGAGGCGAACACCTTAACCTCGAGAGCCTCCTAGGCAGGTGTGCTGTGAATTTCTTTGATATTGGGCCGTTTTTAAAAGTTTTTAGGGTATTTTTATTGTTTTGTTTTTTCTTCTTTTTTTTTTCCTTTACTTTTTCATGTTTAGTTTTTGGGTTTTGTTATGAAGTTGACATCTATTATCTATTTGTGGTGGCCGAATGTTGCTATTCAAAAGGCTTTCTAATGACTGCATCGACCGACTTGCGGTTTTCGCCTAAAGATTCTTTAAAATATTCTCCAGATCATGACGCCCTTCGTTTTTTCAGTTTTGAGACAGTTTTTCTGCAAAAAGCTAAATTTCTTTATTTCGCCGATCGCTTTTGTAGGCCGACGCTTCTGTCTCTGTAATTTTAGAAAATTTGCCAGGTTTGTTTATTTCAAGTCGTACTTCCGTTCGATACTATCGCGCATTGTCGCGCACTGCTGAGCACTAGTTTAAGTGTTCAACCCGTATAGATCTAGACCTTTTAATTTTTTGCATCTCTCAAGATTTATTGCTCCATTCCAGCAGAGTGTAAATGTAAGAGGCCAATGACTTTCAGTTGATGTTAATGTACCGGTCATTCCTTTCATGGAAAGGGGGCCCAGCTAGTTTCTATGTATGTCACGAGTATATTTATGAGACTTTGTGGTGAAATCAGGCGCTCGTCAAAATAATCAAATCGAGGAAAGTGACATTTTTCTGTCCGTTTGGCAATTTTTGTCGAATTTTTGTTTTTTGACCCAGTACCTGTGACGTCCGTTTAAAAACACATTTCTGGGTGGAATTAACTTAAAGAATATTTTGACTTTGATGAACCCCTTCACTACCCGGCCCGAGACTGTCTCAGGCTCTCTTGTTGGACTTACTTAAAGAATATGTTGATTTTGATGAACCCATTCACTACCCGGCCCGAGACTGTCTCGGGCTCTCTTGTTGGACTTACTTAAAGAATATGTTGATTTTGATGAACCCATTCACTACCCGGCCCGAGACTGTCTCGGGCTCTCTTGTTGGACTTACTTAAAGAATATGTTGATTTTGATGAAC